TTGGGGCAAAGACAAAGAAACGTTGCTGGCAACATACAAGGCAATAGGCCGGCCGGTTTTGAACTACGCAGCGCAGTGTGGTCGCCGGGGACTAGTAGGACGCAGTGGACGAGGCTACAGACTGCACAGAACACCGCACTTAGGACAGCGACAGGATGCCTCCTGATGTCGCCCGAACACCATCTTCACGGCGAGGCGCAAATGCTCCCCGTAAAGGAGCACAACATAATGCTCTGCAAGCAGTTCCTGATCGGCAGCCACAGAAGTGGCCACCCAAACAGACAGCTGGTTGCAGAGGAGCCCTCGCCTAGGCACGTCAGGAGGCATCTATATGAACTGACAGACGAAGTCCAGAGGTTCGTCAAGCAACCTCTCAGGCCCTGAACGACATTCACAGGGACTCAGTCTCGAGTTATGTAGACTCTAGACCTGTGAATGCCGTTCTAGGCATACCACCCCCGGACATAGACGAGACGGAGCTTCATCTGCCTCGGGAGACTCGCACACCACTTGCACAACTTCGCTCCGGCTACTGCAGCAGGTTAAACTCCTACCTGAGTAGGTTGAATGAGGATGTGCCTAATGAGTGTCCGGCATACGGAGAGACCCCCATGACTCGAAACATCTCTTCGTATGCCCGGAAAACCCGACAACCCTAACGGCCTTGTCCCTGTGGACAAACCCCATAGAAGCTGCACGCTTCCTAGGGTTGCCGTTAGTGGAACTTGACGACAACGACTGAGATACCGCTACAACAACAACAACAACATTAAGTTTAAAAGAGATGCTTTCCATTTCCAGACAACCGGTCAGGTACAAGCATGATTTTTAATTTCGACCAAACTCAAATACATTGTTTGTTGGTCCAAATAATGAGACACGTATTTTTTCTTTTGGCTCGGAAAAATTTTTCGGCCGAATTAAACGCGATTTTGTTTTTCAAACAAAAATCGATTATTCGAATTGACAGTGAGATTTTTTTTTTTTAAATGCCCATAACTTTGTCAAAATAAGTAATTCTTGTCACTTCAAGATAGAATGATATAATTATTGATTTTCATTATTTAAAATTTTTATTTAACAATAAATAAAAAGTGGACATTTTTTTTAAATTTAATTTCTCAAAAAGTGTATTTTTTTGATGTGTATACATCTTTGGTTTCGGTAGGGGTAAAATTTGCGAAGCTGTAACGCATATCCCAGCACAAAATTCGAAGGGCTTAGCATGTGTATTTCAGCATAAAATTTTCATTTTCATTAGAAGCACCCTGTGTTTGCTTGCCAAATGGTTGCATACATTTAGGCATAAGCATAATAAGAGGAAATGCGCTACAATCGATTATTACTTTCGAATATTTAAACTCCGCACATGCATTTTGATATTCGTAGATGGTGTTAGGCATAGGTTTAGTAGTCTATTTTGATAAAAAAGCAAGGCGAGAATTAAAAAAAATACTGAAATCATTTTAACTGGGACCTTTGATAACTGATGAACATGAATATATGTATGTATAATATGCATATGTATGGATGATGTAATAGCTCTGATCCAATACTTTTCGTGTAAAATCCTGGAAAAAGGTCAAACAGCAAAATCACTCTCTGAAGTGAGAGTAAAAAGTGAGTAACAGCAAACGTACGGAACAAAAAAGCATCGGGTAAAATCCTGCAACAGGAATTGCATTTACATGAACCACAGATTATATTCCGAAAAGAAAAACTAAATTTAGGAATATATACAAATATAAATGCCCAAACTATAAACTCGAAAAACAATAACTGATGCGGTGTTTCCAAGATATTCATTCACCCTCATTGCGAGAGTGGTGTCGTATGCAAGTCGTTTTTCGAGAGTCGAATCGTATCGCAAATTGCACGTCAATGCCTAAAATTTCCATTCGACTAGTGTATTAAAACGGAAAAACTTGGCAGCACTGTATAGTTTTCGACGATTTTCGTCATTTACTTATTTCAGCACGACAGTAAACAATACCAATGTTGTCGAGTCGTACAATTTAGCCTAATTTACGACTTACGCAATGAGGCTGATTTAACGCCCTTGAGTCACAAGTATATACAAGTATATTTTATCAATCATACCGATAATTTTATGTATTAAAAGAATTAAAATTGAAAATAAATCAAAAAATTAAATCAGCAAAATGTTCAATTTCTAACCTAACCTACATTTGTATGTATGTAACTGAATCGCCTAATAATAGCTTTACATATACAAAAATTATCCTAATTTTCGAGCTTAACTCCCTAATCTGTTATTAGAAAAAGAGATTAGCCATACAAAATTATAATTAAAAATATCTCAGATTAAACC